GTAAACAGCGTCCAACTCGGCTTTAATTTGCGTAAACGTATTGCCTTTCAAATGCAAGTATTTAATTATAGCACGATATTCAATTTTTTCCATTTTTACAAAATGACGACACATATGATTGTCAAACAAGAACTGAACGTCCAAAGTGGCCACAATTGTCACAGATATCTTTCGTAAGTATCACGATTATAATACCAGAATGACTTTGACGAGTAATGCCATCTTCATGATGAGGCTCGAAACTTTTCAGACGACCCTCGTATGTCAAGGTTAAGGACATAGATTTCCTGCTCTAAAACCAAAAATTGTCTTTGAAAGCCTTAATTTCCCATATAACTTCCGTTTTTAAAGCAGGAACTTATTTCCACCTCCCCCCTGCTTGGAGGAGCGCGACTTCCACGCAAAGCGACTCCCATCCCACCTTCTCCCTGCTTGGGGATGAGCGATTTCCACACGAAGCCATTCCTCCCCTATTTGGAGTCGTTTCGCGTGAAAGTCGTACGCCCCCAAGCAGGGGGGAGGGAGGGAGTGGGAGTAACTTCGCGTGGAAAGTTGTAAAATATACTTCCGTAAAGCTGAAAATTTCTGTTTCATATAGTAGAAAGGAGGTATCTTTCAAACTTTTTTTGTTAATAACGAAGAACAACGTTATCTAAAACTTGTTGGAGGTCACTCAGGGTCATGACATTGACAACATATGTCAAGGTCAAGGTCATTGGAGGTGGTTCCCTTTTCTAAATATTTACCTTAGATTTTTAATGCTTAAATAATTTCATTAATTATTACGTTAATTTGTACGTGCTATACACGCGCACACGCACGCGTACGCACGCACGCACACTATATTTGTAGTAATTTGAAACTGCGCGCCGAATTAATTTTATCGGACTTACAATTAGTAACGCGGCTAAACTATTGTAATAATGTCACAATTAAATTTTGATGCTCAATAGGTATCTATTAAAAAGATCTTAATGTGCTGGAAATCTGTAAACCAAAAAATTATAAAAATGAAAAGTTCAGGCCATGTTCA